ACCCAGCACCGGGTGGCCCCCGTGCCCAGAGCCAGGGGATTAAATCGGGCTCTCACAGCCAACAGAGCGTGGGCGAGCCGTGCCTCTAGGTTCTTCCTTTTGTGACTGTGAAAGCAGGATGGAAACACCCCCATAAAATGCTCTAGGATGGGATGCTAAGCTGAACGGGGAGCTGGAAAGCAACTCCTATTACAAAAGATAAAAGAAACGCAATCCCATTTCGCTCCCCCAAGCGCTTACTGACGATGGCCTGCTAGTCACACGGAGACGGCTGCAAGGCCGGTGGCTGTGGCAGCCGCACACCTGGGTGCCCGGATTCTAGAGGCTGGGGCTTGGGCGTGGCTGCGTGTCTCCAGGGCACAACCGAAAGCTGCGTTTGTCTCCTGAAGTCTACGCTAGTAAACTTAAAAAAAAATGTTTTCTAAACTACCCCAGGACCTAGACAACACTGTCATCTTGCTCACCTGGCCACTCCAGAAATCGCTGGGAGCTGCATTCACTGTGGCACACAGTGAGAATTACAGCAGGGCCGGGGTAAACCTGGAACTAATATAACATTCCCCGGGGCCCTTTTCTGTCTTTATAACATGCATTATGACAATTTAACATATTAAACCTTCATGTTAGATTAGAGGAAAAAGCCAATGAATGAAACATATCTATTGACTATCTGTATAGCAACGAGAATTAAATTTGTTCCCATACTTAAATTTTTTAAAGCTAATTTTAAAAGTTCTTTGAAAAAAAAAAAAGCCAGTTCTTTTCCAAACTTACTCTCAAATTCATTAACTCACTTGAATGCAGATGTCTAAAACTACATTTCAAATCAGAGTTTTGGTTTTTTTTCTCTAGTTTTTTAGGCTTTTAATGATTTTTTGGTAATTCAGAACCATCTGTGTCTTTTTCCACATCACAATAAAAACATTAACCTGTTCGTTCAAGAGACGCTTGGAATCCTCACTATAAAGTAAGTATTTATTTTATATAAATGACTCCGTGCTATTGCAAGGTCTCTTCAGGGTCTCGGTAATTCCACATGCTTGATACCAAACGTGGTCAGCCTACACAGAACATGATGTGGTTTACACGGAATTGTACGATAACTCTGAACTGTACTCTATTTTCTGCGCACCCTCATCATAGGAAATAAAGCACTGTTTTCCAATACAATTCCAGGTAAGATGGAACGAGTGATAAAAACAGTGCTGAAAGCCCCAATGTTAACCCGGTGGGTCGCTGTGGCCTTTCCGGCCAAGGTTGGAGGGCAGGGAGCGCTCCTGCACTCAGTCCCGGGAGAGGTGCGCTCTGCACTGGCCGCCACGCCCGCCCGAGGCAGACCAGGGTCTGGCGCTGCGGCCCGGTCTGAGGGGCAAAGCCCACAAGACCCCAGCTCCAGACACACGGTGGACAGTCCACTTTCCGCCCTTCACCTTCAAAATGGGGAGAGACCTGTTGACCTGACTGACTCTGAGCATACTGTTCTTTACAATTTACTGAGTTACACTGATGTAGAGACAGTTAAACAACAGAGGTCAAGATTCGCTTTCTTAGAGATGAATATTCAAATGCAACTTTTTCAGATGTCAATTCTAACCTCTTTTGCCTAGAAGAGTTGGTTTATAATTGTTTTAACTGAATAGTCACATGAAGACAGATTTCCTAAATCTCATTATAATTGTAATCAGCTTAATTTCTTGACAAGTAGGGTTGTCCTATTTATTTCTGAAGTAGTAACAATCATCCAAGTTACTTTAAAATTATCAATGATGATAAAAAATAAAATGAGCAATAACAGCTTAGAAATACATTTTAAATTAGCATATAATTGAAACTAAATTTGTGAATATACATGGAATGAGGAGGACTCTCAATAATGCATTTTCTTAAATTAAAATGACTGCATTTGAGATTTTAAATGTTACATTTAATCCAACTGGGATTTTTCCCCCTCACTTAAAAACATAATACAATGGCACTAACTTTCATAGACATTGTTTATAGCCCTAAAATTCACTTTTTTAATTTCAAAACACTCAAACTACATGTGCTCGAAGAGCTCTGTATTTGGTACGGCCAATGAAAAACAAAATCACAAGGTACTCACAGACAAAAACGACCACAGTACATCTTAACAGAGCGCCTGCTTTTAAAAGTTATTCCGTGTAATAATCAATATCGTTAAAATCACTCCCAATAAAACTGGGGTTTCGTTTTCTCCTAATGATCCAAATGTAGAGTGAAATGATGAAATCAAAAACCAAGTGTTCTTGTCAGAAGACAGGAAGAGAGTTTCCCCCCTCCCTGGCGGAAAACAAAGGGCTCCTGAGTGCTCGGCCCTGATTTATTTTTCCAATTTTCAATTCCTTGAGCAGCGGAGCTGCTACCGGCAGGGTCGTATTTCTAGCAGTCAATAAATCTACAATATTATGTGTGAATATTGGAATGAAGCCATTAAGAAGATTACAGCATGCGGCGCAGCAGAGGGTCCGCAGGAAGAAAGACGAGTAATTCGGGACAACTGTGACCGCTGACCCGGGAGTGGCCGAAGCCGCTGGCCAGGCTGACGCTGTAATCGGGTGCACGTGCGGACGGAGCCGGCCGGCCTGCCGGGGAGGGTGGCTTCCCCGCTCGGCGGCAGGGTTTCAGAGGCCCCCCCCTGCAATCTCGGTGAATTTACTGAATAACCAAACAACCCCAACAGAAATATTATTCAGGCTTCCAGTGTGTGTTATTCACTCAGATCTCAGACACACACACACACACACACACACACATTCGGTAAGATCATCTGTGATTTTTTAACACGCCTCATTTGAAACATTCACAATGACAGAAAAGAGGACTGGCCACTTGATTGTACTTCCCACAGGAGTGTAAGAGATGGCTTTTGGAAAACTGATGATGAAAGCTCAATTTTTGAGAGAGGGTTAAACAGTCATCTAAAATATTTGTAGGACAAGGACTGTCGCTCGAAGCATCTCCTATTGCAGTTGACAGTTTTTGCGCTACCTGAGAGCCAGCTCCATTTCCGCCTTCCCCAAATGTGCTCACACCCGGTTCCGTCCGCACCCGATGTCTCCTTAGACTCTCTCCCTCTCACAGGTATGTCCAGCCAACTGTGTCTATACAATGACATTCCCCCGCATCATTTTATATATGTAGGCTTTAGTATCTGGGAGTGTCGTTGACCTCCTTCATGTATTTAACTAAAGCGTAAACAGCAAACTAATTCAAATGGGAAAACACTGCCTCTGAATTCAAAAAGAATTACCCATCAAAACAATGGCTGTTAGAGATCATTCTTCTCAAAGGAAGAAGGAGCTATCATTAAAGCAGACTATAAAAACCTCACTACGGCAGTGGAAAAGCTGATTTCTTTCCCACTTTTCTTCCTCTTCTTTAAAGGATTGTTTCAATCCTTTCTCCTCAGGGGCACTAACAGTAGCAAATACAAGCACATAAGAAAAACGTTCTTAAAACTTGGGTCTTTATTTTCATAATTACTTCTCTCTCCAATGAAGGATACTTTGATGGATTTCCAAATGAATAACTCTAATCATTTCTACCAGCTTCTGCAAAATTCTTATAATGAGGCAATCTAGTTATAATGAGCTAAAAAGATAATATAATTCTTCACTGACCAGGGCTTGGATTAGTTCCTCCGTAGCATTAATTTTACTACAGTAAGATAAAATACTTCAGTTTAATTTGCTTCAAGGTCAGCAAGTATTTCAGGTTATTTATGGGCATACATAACTTCATTTCAACCTAAAGTCATATTTTCCCATCAGTAGCCATAAAAACCATCAAGTTTAGTTTTAGTGTATTTTTTGAGTTTGAAATTTTTTAAATTTCATTTTTCAAACTCCTTAAAAATGATTTCAAAGTACTTGAAATATTAGAGACTTACAAATTTGAATGGAGGTTTTTTTTTTGTAATTCTCAAATTTTAATATCCCTGAAAAGAATAAATTTTTTAAAGGGCGGTTATTTTAACTTGGGACTATGTTAGAACACTATTTTTAAACAAGCATTGAAACAAAAACAGAAACAAGACTAGTCTGCATGTTACCAGGAATATGTAGGCCAAAAAATACACTTTTGGAGACTATTTCACATGAAATACAGAATATATCCTATTATAAGCTGCAGACACACACACACATGCACACACACACACACACACACACACACACACCCCTTTGCAAGATCAAAGACCAGGCAAGAACTGGCACTTAATTTATCAGCCTTTACAGACAAAAGACAGTTTTCGTCATTTCAAAAGGATCAGATGTCTTTTATGACAGACTGGGCCTGCAGTTTAATTTACAAATAGAATTCTAAGTAAGCAGCCCTTGCTCTGCCCCGGCAAACGATGCTCCGCGCAGGTTTTCATTCTGGCGGCCCTCAGCAGGACAGAGAAGATTAAAAATAAAACTGAAATAATTTAGAGAAAACAAATAAATGTTTCAGAAAGTTGAGGGAGATCAAAGCCGGAGTTTCCTGACCCCAACTGTACCAGCATTTCTGATTATATTGACCAGCACCATCAGATCATTAATTAAAGGGAATGGCACTGGCAGGTGGCGGAGGAGCCCAGCCGGTAATTGGCTCCCTTCTTTTTCCTTCAAAAACTCTCATTCTTTTGCAAGACATGCCACTAGGCAGACAGAAATGCCTACTTTGTAACGTGATGATTAAGATGAGATGAAGAGGCACACGTTGAAAGAAACCTTGCCTAATGAATGTGCCGAGCTGTTTAATTACGGTCCTCTCTCACAATGCGGAGCATCGGGCCCCACTCACCAGCCCCTCAACTGCCAAAAGGTAAAAATAGGATATGCAGGCCCTCCGGTGAGTCCTCACCCTCACCCCCGCCCCCCCCCCGGCCCCTTTATTCCAGTCTTGCACAGTGGGCGAGATCGCTCTCGGTGAAGCAGGGGTCCGGGGAAAACATACATGTGAGTCTCCGTCCACCACAAGGCACCCTTCAGACTTACCACGTCACTCGGGAGGTTGATCAAGTCATTAAATGGTGACTCTAAAGTGTTTGTGTCAACATTTAACATAACCACATCCTCCAGGGATTTATTTTTCACTCTCTGTTTAAAAAACACAATTATAAACAAACATCTTAGTATACTGTCCAAAGTCTAGTGAGCTTAGAAATGTAGAAAAACTTATCTTAATGCATTAATCTTAGAAGAAAGACAAAAAAAGGAAAACCCTAGATTATAAAAGAATATAAACTGTGTGAGAAAAATAGTTTGTATGCAACCATCCAAAAAGATGGGATAAAAAGGCTTCACGTAAAATGTGTGCTCATCTCAGTACAGTTTTGGTTTAGAGATACTGAGCATAATTTAACGACCAAAGAGCTGTTACAACAAAGACTTACAAAAGAGCACGGCTACAGTGAACTGTGAAAACATACATTCTTTAAATCTGATCAACTGAATTTCAATCCTAGGATGGAACTTGTGTCCAGTTCTACACCTATTTTTAGCATAAATCATAATGCAGGTCTCATATAAACCAACTACAGTTTAAAGTAATCCATATTTTCTCTATATTTTGATTTCGATTTGGTAAAAGTTTAGGATAATGTCTGAAAGTCAAATAAGAAAAAAGGACAAAGAGGGCAGTAATATGTAGTTCATTATTAGTAATATTCATCACACAAGTTTCAATATAAGAGATCAAATTTAACAGCCTATCAGATTAGCTATTTGACTTACTTGCTTTATTTGTTTGACAGCTTAGTTACACCTGATCAAATTATCTCAATATGTGGACAAATACTAGTGAATTAGAATTGCATCAGATTTTTCATACTTAAATAAAATATTTACGCTTTGTTTCTTATTTAATATGAATACTTAAGTTATATACCATAATAGCTTTATGTAAATGATAGCAAACAGTATTAGTCCCTAATGCAAATGAGGTGCTCATTAGTGAAATATATCCATCAACTTGGAATTCCATAATTGTATAGGTCAACTAGCGATAGGTCAATTAATTTCAGCACAATGTTCTTTAAAGGGACATTCTAGAATAATAGCTATTTCAGAAATTATTAAATACCTTAAATTTTAAATTGGCCGAACAATTCTTTTTGGCTCATGTTGGGCAACACTAAAATTTCTCTGATTCATTCAGAATTTCAAGTCTATGCACATTAGGCAGAATTTTAAATTTTCTAGAGAAGTGGTAGTTTTCAGTGTTAAGAAAGCTGTAATGTCTAGGTGGAATATGGATTCACGGGGGGGTGGGGCACATGACGCTAAAAATCCTTGTGAAAGACATTAAAATAAATCTAAAGTAAGACTCAAACAATGGCCCTTTTTAAGAGATTGACATTTATAAATTAACTCGTTTCCTTTCCCTTTCATGTTAATATATATATGTAAATAAAATTTATATATATACAAATATGTAGATATTATAAATTACAGTATAACTATAAAATAACCTATTTTATAAGCAAATATATATTTATATTGATGGCATTTATGTGAAAAAACTATGTCATAATTTTGATTTCCATCTTCAATTTTAAGTTGCCCTTTTAACAGAAACTATAAAGTTAATCTATAAACCTGATGTATTTTTTAAAAAATAAAATAGCCAAGGATAATGGCCACGTGACCCCCGAATGCTTCATGATGACACTAACAATAAGCCCTGAATAAAGGAAATCAATGTTAATACGAAGTGTATGTGTTTTTCAAAGTTGCTCTTGGTTTGAAAAGATCTGACAATAGCTGGATATTAAATTTTGTTCAAGGGACCGCCCAATAAGAATGAAAATGTCCCCTGGCTGGTGGGGCTCAATGAAATAAGTGCCAGCCTGTGAAACGAAGGGTGGCCGGTTCAATTCCCAGCCTGGGCACATGCCTGGGTTGCAGGCCAGGTCCCCAGTAGAGGGCGCATGAGAGGCAACCACACACTGATGTTTCTCTCCCTCCCCTTCTCTAAAAATAAATAAATAAATAAATAATTTTAAACAAATAATGGAAAATATATTCATTTAGAAATCAATACACTAAGACCTCTAAAATGAGAACAATTTCATATTTTAAAAAAAACTATGCAATTTAAATCTTTTTTTAAGTTGGAGTAATGTGAGTATTTTATCTGGTTTCCCTGCCAACTTGGATTTAGCTGTTGTTTTTGCTAAATACCAGTGGACGGCCACACAGCACATAAAATCATCCCACTCTCCTATTTTTAGATCGTAAAATTCATACTTGTTTAGATGGAAAAAGAGTAAGAAAATATAAAAATATAATTTTCCTTTTTCTTCAAAAATAGAAAGTGCTCCGAGGACAGAGACAGAACATCTGGTGCAGATGGGCAGGACGGTGGTGAGGGAGGTCGCTGCGTCCCCATCCTCTGCAGAGGGCCCTCCCAGGGACGGGGAATACCGGCCACAAACGTCACAGCCAGGCAGTGACACAGAGGCGGCGGCCACATGGTCTTATGAAGTTGGGCCACATTTTGTTTAAGGGCCTTTCTGCACTGGAACTACCCACCCCACCTCCACCTGCGGCCCCCACCGATGTGCCGCTGGCCCCAGTCACTGCAGGGCCGCCCCCCCCCCGCCCTCCCACCCCGGGCTCAGCTGCACACTCTCCCTGAAGTCTAGTGTTCCGGCAGAGCACCAGGCCCTCGCCCTGTGTTTTGGGAGGAGGTGTGCATTTTAAAAAGAAATTGCGAGCCATCTTTCACTCACAATTACATAAAAATAATTAAAAATTTAAAAGGGCATTCATTTTACATCTTTGAACAATTATGTTTAGAAGTCTTGAAACAGTCTTATCTGACTGGAAATAAACTATTTGATTCTTCCTTTAAAAAAAATAAGTTGTGCCCTGGCTGGTGTAGCTCAGTGGATTGAGCACGGGCCTGCGAACCAAAAGATCGCGGTTCGATTTCCCATCAGGGCACATGCCTGGGTTGCAGGCCAGTTCCCAGCAGGGGCCAGTTCCCAGCAGGAGATGCACAAGAAGCAACCATACATTGATATTTCTCTCCCTCTCTCCTTCCCTTCCCTTCTAAAGATAAATAAAATTTTTAAAAAAAATTAGTTGTAATTGCAGCCAAAGGAAAAAAATGTAAAAAAATACTTCAGTCTCACATGTGAAATATGTAAATACATACATTTGCATTTTAACTATAATATCTTATATAAAGTTTAAAAAGCACAAAAGAACATTTCAATGAAAAAAACCTGCCGAATAAGACATCGTAAGAATGGAACCGTGACATGAGCATCTCCCGTAACAGATACAGGAGAGAGAGCTTCACCAAAGGCACCGGCCCAGGGTAAACGCGTTCCCGAGTTCCCACTGCACTTCCTCACTCAGCACTAACCCAGACCTACTGAACCAAGCGGATCATTAAGACAGTTCGATGAATCCAGAGTAAAATAAGGCCCAGAGACTGTGGCCAATCCGCTCCCGGCTCCAACACTCTCCTCTAACAATGGGAGCCAATCTAAAGCTCGAATAGACTACTTCTCCAAGACAGTCCTTTAAGGGGTAAGTCATTCTTAAACTGGCCCTTTAGAAAAGTACTATTTTTTTTTGCCCTGGCTGGTGTAACTCAGTGGATTGAGCATGGGCCTATGAAGTAAAAAAGTACTATTTTTTTTTCATAGGTGTCCATTAAATATGTGATCAATTTAATTGAATATTTAAAACCTGCATCCCTTTCTATGATCCTTTTGAAAAGTTGAATCATTCGTTTTAAACGTTAATATAGAATAATTACGCAAAAAAAAAAAACAGGTATAATGGACAACTCTGAATATTTTTTATCTGTAAAAATAAATAAAATATATTGTAAAAATTACATATTGTATTAGATATATTACTTAAAAAAAGACATGGACACTAATACCAAAATGAAGTTTGGTCACTTTTTCAGACCATACCAACCAGGGACGGTGAGACTATGCCCAAGTCACGCTGTTGATGTGTATGATGCCAGTCCCGTGTTCCACAATCTGATAACAGATCAATAACTGCTCATTCATGTCGCCTTTCATACACTCTGTCCCTTCACTGCAGGCGTTGTGGCATGTAAGAGCAAGTTTTCCAAAAATAACAAAATATGAAGAGTCATAATGCTATCCAGCCCAGACTTCACTATTCAAAACAAATTAAACCTCCGAAGGAAACTTGCTCAGATAGATTCTTTATTGAAGGTGAAACAAATAAAAACTGGTGCCCGAGGGACTCCCTGATCAACACAGCGGCTGTCCTGTGTGCACCACTGTGCACAGTGACACCAGTCAACAAGAAAACCCAATCTAACTCGCTGAGGCTAGAACTCGGGTGAAAGTGCAAAATGCACAACCAGCAGAAAAAAAATTTTTTTTTAATAAAACTGAAGTCAGCCGGCATAATGCAACCTGATCCACGCCCTTAGTCTCTAGATGCTAATCTTACAAGATGAACTCTCTGGAAATTTCACTGAGTTCAAGTGCAAGGCGGTTCACTACAGTGATGACTCCAGTGACAAAAGTCAATGTGGAATGTTGTGATGACAGCGCAGAAAAATTGCTACGTTTCTAACCCCCAAGGAGATTGAAAATTAAAATAATATTCCGATGAAAAACTTCATGATTAGTGCATGAAATCTGCCTCTTCAAAAAACATACTGATAAAGTGAATTGAAATGAAGTCCACAAAATAACCTTTCTTTTTATAACTCCTAGTCACACGAGTTCTGACTTTCCTGTGTGCGTATAAAAATCTCAGGTACCGTGAAGAAGGTGGTCCATTCAAAACTAAAGTTTTCAGGATGTAAAACTTACCATGTGATTTCTACCAACCAGAATCTATTTTCATGGGTTTTATGCCATTGAAGAGGACCATTTAGTACATAAATTATAATACAATGATTTCAAAGTTACCCTTTTAAACATGACCATGTAAATGTAAATTAGTCACTGTCTTGTACTACATAATTGATAGTCTTTCAAAGCGTAACTGCTTAGACTATCGTTTTGTGAGTGGATTGATTGCGATCAAAGGCCTGAAAGGTACTCACCTCTATGAGGCTGGAGTGGATTCCGATCAGGTAAGGCATCGGAGCGCTAAATTAAAAAAATACATACATATTCACACAGTTCATGAAAACCGAAACAACGTCCCAAATAATTCCGTATGCCTAACAAATTAAATGTATTAAATACACAGCTCTAACACAGCACATATAGGTATTTTAAGTTATTCTACATATAAAATTCAAATCTGACTTTAAAGGCCATTAATAGACTCAGGTTAAGGTCGATTTATATAAAAATCACAAAATTATTTATAATTAATTCAAGATTAGAAAACTTTAGTGATTAAGAATAGTGGGGTGGAGGCCATAATCTGAGTTGAACTTCTCCATGTACTTCATAGCGAATACTGAATATTATTTCAAACAGCGGACCATGCATTTAATCATCGGTTGCCAATTAATGACTTCACGCAACATTTCCCAACTAGTGATCTGTGAAAATTATTTTCAGAGAAAAAGACCATTGTCAATTAAGTTTAGGAAGTGAGAAGTATTAACTTCTCATCCTTAATAATCATCAAATTTATTCACATTTCTTTTGCACCCCCTTTTTTAAAATTCAATTAGATTCTTATTTCCAGGATTTTCTCAATATATCATTATTTCATACCTACTACCTGACCACATTTTTTAGTCCGTCAGCACCACGTACTCTTGAGACCTACTGTGTGCCGGCACCTACTACGTCCTCCCTCCCTGTCCTCGCTGTCCCATTTCTGTGCTGTCCACTCCTGGGCCTTGTCTTTCAAGTCACATGTCATACATACATTTACACTTATCCCACTTTGACTTCTATCGATAAAACAATTTTAATAAATTAAAAAATGTTCAAACAAGTTGAAGAATAAAACTGATTAAGTCCACCCCAAATTGAGAGAGCACCCCAGGCGTGCCGGTCGGGGGGGGCTTGGGTCCCATAATAGGCAACTCGGGCCAAATGTACCCCTTTGTGGGCCCCACACTCCAGCAGAGAACACGGTCATTAACTAACCTTTGTGACACGTCAGATCAGACTTGCTAGTAATGTCACCAACATTTCTCATCACATGCAGAAGGAAATTATTCAACTTGACATTTCAGAATTAAAACTCTGTCTAGCAAGAAACCATGAGAATGGACGAATGTCTACAAAGGTGATCAAAATATGCCACTAAACAGCTACTCCAAAATCAAACATTTTTTTAAATGTCTTGGGTACACGATTCGGGCTACACTGAAGGCCAGCCTTCTCTGTTAATGGACATGGACAGGCTCCTTTCTCTAAGGGCTCACACGGTCTTCCGAACATCGCCGTCGTTACCAGGACTGAGCTGTGGTGTCCTGCAAGTCCACCGGGCAACCAACACCAGGACCCGACAAAACTAGCGGGCACCCCTACAGATCCGGTTTTCAGGGGCACCTCCAACCGTTCCAGGAGTGTGAGGAAGGCTAACCACACTGCCACATCCAGAATTCACGAACAATCAGAACAGCTGATCTCACTTACTCACACTGGCATGCCCGTCACACTTACGTGCTAGATTCTAAGCCCAGTCGCGTTTGCCTTTGATACAACTGCCCCTTCCTGCTTCATTGTCACAGAGCCGGTATTCTGGACACTTCACTGGACTGCAAGGTGAGAACTATTTGTAGGCCTGGATGTCCTTAAGACCTAATAGATCCGCCCCCTTCAGAAGGAAGCAGGATAAGTACACGTGGGCACTTCTGCTTTTGCTTAACTAAGGGAAGGCTGGCGAAGTCCCTAGTTCATGCTCTCACCTCTGGAATTCCTTCTGGGATTCTGCAGAAGACATAAAATATACGTCGCCAATTATATGTCTCCCAGGACTGGGTTCAGCAACTTGCACAAAGCAGTGTAGGCAATGGCAAGATCTTACAATGCCTCAGGCCCTTGCCACATGGGAAGATGCATAAAGCTACTGAAGGCACCATGGGGCCTCCCTCTCAGCCCCAGGTTAGGTCATCTTACCCACCGGAGTTATAAGGAGGGACCTCAAATTTCCAAGCATGTTGTAAGAAAATGAGCATTAATCAAAATATTTAAACCTTGTAAAAATAATGATTTATTACGTCCATTTTCTAGGTGTTGGAGGATGAACACTGAGTGGACCAGACTTCAAAAGATCAAATCCGAAAATGCTAAAGTCGTATGGGTTACATCTAAGATAACACTTCCCAGTTATCGCTTCAAATATAAACAATAAATTGACAGAAATTGTTAAGCTAGAATAGAAACTCGGTGACAAGTGCCTCTTTGACCCCGATAATAAAGTGGGAAGGTTTTCTATGGGATCAACTGGCGTCTCTATGTGTTCTTATTTCACTCATCTACAACAAAATCAAAACAGACTGACGTCAGAAATGCAAACATTTTAAATCTAGAGCATCATTTCCTAAAATAATTATGATGATTTGGAGAGTATAGATTTTGTGGAACGGTTGTTTCCTCCCCGTGAAAAGCGAACTGAGTGCACCCTAACACTACGTCAGCCACAGCTCACGGCGAGGAGTTTGCAGCCCCAGCTGAGGCCGCCTCAGAGGTGAGGGCACTGAGGAGCGAGGAAGGGCCCCCGCAGCACAGGGGCTTCACCGCCCGCCTGTACAATGGCCCTGCGTCTTTCTCTCCATGAAGTTATTGTGCAAAGAGAGCATACGGAAGGCTCTGTGATGACCGCTTCTTCTTTCAGCAATTAACCTTCGTTCAAAAATGGCTACTCCATTGCAGCCCCCTTTCCCCGTTAGGTCTCCTCACAGAGACCAGGCGTGGGTTTGGCCCATGAACGTGGGGTGTTCAAACCGGTGTAGCCTCCCCACTGTGATGTTTTCAGCAGTGAAACCCGCTCCTTTGGTGGGAGCAGCAGCAGACACACAGCCGAACTAACCATTCTTGAACCAGGAGGGACGATTACTACCTTCCTGGGAGGGAAGTCACGCCACGCCCGGGAGTGGGAGGGCTCGGCGAGGGGGGAGACTGTCCGCCCACTTCTTGGGTGGACGTGCTCCAGTCCCCTTTGCTGTGCTGTTGCAGAGAGGACACCTGGCACACGATGTGCCCCCCTCACAAACTGGGCGCCCAGGGCCGTACCGCCGCCTGAAGGCTCGGTGTTGCTCGGCACATCTCAAGGACGTCATCAATGTGCAGCTGAGGCCCGTGAAAGAGCAACTCCTCACTTCCCCTCCTAGTGCTGGATGCTGGGAGACTGCGGGCTGCGTCCTGCTGGCCCAGTGGCCTCCCCTGTCCTAGCAGGCAGCGGGGCCCACTTCTTCCTTGGTGTCCCCCCTCATACACCTCTGAGGGGAACCTCACGTGTGTGCCCTGCATGCGTGTGCACATGTTAATAGGTGTGTAGATTCCTTCCCACCTGTGAACACCGCCAGGGCAGAAACCAAGTCGTCTTCGTTACACTCCCTGCTCACGGCTGGACAAACAGGGGTGCCCTGAATGTCTGATGTACAAGTGCGGGAGCGAAGGGGGGCATGAGCCAGCAAGCGAGTGAGCCTGCACCTGAGGACCCAGGTGCGACACTCATCCAGGGTCAGATGGCTCTCACCGCCTCTGCCATCAGAGACACCGGGCGCAAACCCCAAAACCCCTCCAAAGCTGGGCCTGCCTCGGGACATGGGAGGTCCCAGTCACCTGGGAGAATGGGCAACACACACCTACCGCTCTCTGGCCTTCCTGGCACTATTTCCAAAGCAGAATCACAAATGTCTTTATTCAAACCCCACGGAATGGAAGCAAGGATGTCTAATGTTCCTCTCCCTTCCGCGTCCAGACCAGTATGACTAGAGTCATTCGCAAGGATGCGAAGAAAGAGGGGAAACCATTTTCCCCAGGAAACAGTTTGGTCCAAGGAATTTCCTGACGATGGAAGAGAGCTGGGTCTTCAGTGGCCATTTCTAAATATACATACATCCTCCTGCCTGACCCCGCTGCTGGAAGGTGAGCCCCTCATGGCAATGGGACGGGGTGGGGGCTCAGGGAGCTGTGGTCACCACCATGGTGCTCTCTGGGCCGGGGGTAGCTGGCGTGGAGGCTGCTGGGACTTGTCCTCACACCAAGCGCAGAGGCTAGACACCGGTGACAAAATGCCCAAGACTGAGCCACGAACCCGGCTTCCCTCCTGACAGTGAACGTGGCAGGAAGACCACCTGATGGAGGGCTTAGAAAGTAATGGGATGGGGCCCAGGCTGGCTCAGTGGATTGGGTGCCGGCCTGCAAACCAAACAACCGCAGTTCGTTTCCCAGTCAGGGCACATGCCTGGGTTGCAGGCCAGTTCCCAGCAGGGGACGCATGAGAGGCAACCATACACTGATATTTCTCTCCCTCTCTCCTTTCCTTCTCCTCTAAAGATAAATAAATAAAATCTTTTAAAAAAAGAATGAGCTCCCCTGACTTTAAAAAGAAGGTAACGGGATGGCATCTCTGGAAAGAGCAGACGCAGAGTGATCTACGCCAGGGAGTGATTTCTAAAAAACACAGTGTTACACAGCCTTACATGGAACTCAGAGGCATGTCACCTCCTCAGAGGTCAAACCATTTCCACAAAAAAATTACAGGGGCACGAACACGGTGTACGATAAAATACCATTCTAAACCTCACAATTAGAAGTGTTAGTTCTTGGCACGTATTTCTTAAAATCATGTATCAATATGTTTTCAAATACTTTAATGGGAAATTATTTAAAACAAGTGAGCTAATTGCTCAGTGAGCAAAGGCCTGTTGTGTACGTGAGAGTAAGTACGTCGAAGTCCCTGTGTTCAAGGACGCTAACATTCTGGGTTTGCGGGTCAGAGGGAAAGGACTCTAAAATGAAACCCAGCAGGGCCTGAGTACAGACCTGGCTCTACTCTTGGCCTTGGGCGTTTGACACGTCACAGTCTTGTCACACTGTGGCCCCACAGCCTCCTCCCAAACTCTCTCCTTCCCAAGACTCAAAGCCCAGTGACGGGGGTGGGGGGGCAGGGTCACAGGAAGCTACTTCGCCATGTCCTCAATACTAACAGAGATGCCACATTCACCGGTGGTCACGAGGTGCGTCACCAAGCTGGGCAAATACCCAGCATAATGAGGCCGTCCATCTGGGGCCAAGTTTGCACTTTGTCATTACAATTGCTTATTCCAAAGAGGGCCAGTCATTAAAACGTCATAAAAAATACACCTAGCTGTGAACTTAAATCTGTTTAATCCTTAAATGCTTTGAGTGATCTGCTTTTCATGAAATTAGGAAGTTAAATATTTTGCTTCTAAGAGTTTTTTGTTTTTTTTTTAAATAATAGGAGTTGTGATATCCAAAATCACACTGTGGTCAGTATTACGGCCTTGTGTGTGTGAGACATCACGTCGTTCCGTGCGGGGGTTGTGTGTGTGTGTGTGTGGGCACTCGCAAGGTTCAGAGGGAGAACTCACTCATCAGCTTTCTGGAGAACTGAGCTTTCCCACACAAGAGGACAGCACAGGAAACGGGACGCTTTGGCCTCCGGCCAGACCAAGGCCAAGGCTGCTGTCTGGGAGCCCAGCCCAGGCCTGTGGTCACTCTCAGTCCACAGACTCTTCCAGGGAAGGGGCAGGGAGGTTCTGGGGGTGGAGCCGAGTCAGCTGGGAGCTCTTTCTAGTGCCGGGAAGCTTTCCAGAATTATTCCCGACACTGCCCACGCTGCTCTTCGGGGATCCTGGTCCTGGAGGCAGCCCCTCTGCAGACTTTGGGGTGGAGCGAACTACTGAGGGAGGGGTGCCCCTGCCCCCCCAGACTCTGCAGGCAGACATGGACCCCTGGGACACCGCGTCCTGTAAGTGCCACTCCGTCCGACTTTCCTGACCACAACTTGGATGGCAGCTGCTTCTCCCCACACATTTAGTTACCCAAACGGCTGCAGAAGGAACTCACAGAACCTCGACCACTCTGACTGCCAGGTGGGAACTGCTGCTGCCTCCGGAAAGAACTAGTCCGTAAAAGCACATGTGATATTTGCCACTGCTCTCCAAGGCAGGTCGCAGCGATTCCGGGCACACGCGTGCCCAGCGAGCTCGCCTGGTCCGCGCCCGCCCGCACCGGGAGGGCCTCCTTACCAGCAGTAGTCCAGCAGGTGCGGCGGCAGCACCGGGATGTAGATGTGCTGCCAGAACATGGGGAACAGCAGGGCGGCCGGTCCGTGCAGACAGGCGGTTAACTGCAAGGCGGGAAAGGACAGCACAAGTCAGTGTCCCGACCCTCCAAACGCCACGGCGGCGTGCTCCCGGTGCCGAAGGTAAACGGCCATCACAGACCGGCGTTGGGCGGCCTGCCTCCTACGACCTTTCCCAATGCCGCGTGCAGCAAGTCTTCGGTGTGGGGAGCCCCTCTTGAAAACACGGAATGGAAACAGTTGGAGCAGTTCTGTGGGCATCTCGGGGAGAGGGTGATGTGAAAATGCGGCGCTTGGAGTCCAAACCCGGACCACAGAGGAAGGTGAGAGTGAAATGCTAGGCGAGCCTCGTGGCAGGCGTGGTAGGACATCCCCGTTTGCGCAGCCCGGCCCAGGCCCGGCTGCGATGAACGCACGGCGCCGAATCGAGGAGAAGGGGAGGGGGGCTCCCCAGGGATATCATTAGGGCCCGCTGCCAAGGAGGAAACACGCGTCCGACAGCAGTGTCTGCAGGCGGCAGGAGTGCCCGGGGGCGGGGACGCTCGACAGTTGGCGCTGCCGCCGCGTGCGGACTGTGGGCCGCCGCACCGGGGACTCTGCTCACTGACACGGAGCATGTCACTGTTGACCAGCGCGCTGCCCGAGCTTGACAGCTGCTCCGCAGGAAGCCGACGACATCATAATTCCGCAGCTAAACTGTTCGTGTCAGAGGACGGCTGTGCTGCCGGGCTTCAGACCACAACAGCTGCAGTGACGTCGCCATTGTAAAGGTAACCGCGGTTTTAACTGTTCTGCGTTTAGCGAGCGGTTCATTAAATGTTTGCGATGCCTCCTCGCAAAAGAGACACCGCTTTTTTCCCTCCCCTCCTGGGGACCCGCGTCAGAATTCTTTCTGTATGGTTTCCCATACATTTTAAGTTATATTTCTCTAAGTGTAAAATCATTTTTTAGTGTTGAAAGCAACAATTAAACCAGCATCCACCATCATTTTAAAGTTCTACTCTGCATGTCAAGGTGACTGCTTAAATCACTTTATTCAACTAGAAAATTAGAATTTAAAAACAAAACCACCTGAAAATGAACCATAGACTTTCTATAAAACTATTCTATTTTATTATATAAGAAATTAAAATTCATACATAGTAATCAAAAAATTATAAGATAAATGTGTGCAAAGTCATTTAATATTTTCTGTTATCGAATTTACTTGGGTGGCGTTGGGTGATAGAACCATGTGGGTTCCAGGGGTACTCCTACCTCCCCACCCTTTGCCCTCTCAATTCCATCTCAATAGCAATATTATCTATACGAAAGAGCAAAAGAGTTATACTGAATTTTTTTAAAAATCAATTAAAATAATCTAATCTGAAATAGAGAGCAGACTGACAGCGACCAGAAGGGAGAGGGGAGGGAATTTCAGGGGAAAAGGGGGAAGGATTTACAGGAACTAGTATAAAGGACACATGGACAACAACTAAGGGGGGTGGAAATGGGAGGGAGGTGGGGAGCACTGGGGGGGGTGGGCCGGGATGTGAGTAAAAGAAAACTGTACTTGAACAATAATTAAATTTAAAAAATTAAAAAAATAAATAATCTAATCTGAACCAAAAACATAAAAAATTTTATTCAAATTATATTCATCTTTATGTCTATTATTTTTTCCAGTTACATTTTTAATGAATTATGTGTGTAAAACAGTATATTTTCATTCCATTCAGAATGCTATCATTAAAGCATTTTAGTACTTTGCACACACACACACTTTAATAGTTTATCTACAGTATTCTCTCGGTGAATATTGGCTTTAAAATTCCTTAATTAGAGCACACGATAGACCACTAGGAGGCATTCCAATACTTCTGTTTAATAACTATGGACCGGGGACATATTTATCTCACGTATCTGAACTAGAGGGTCATCCAGCCCGAGTCGCACTCTCTGAGGCCTAGGGGGCAGTCCGGTGTTGGGACTGCCAAAATGAGGCACCGTCCAGTGTTGGGAGCTCTGTCCACCCCGCAGGCTGACCGGACGGGCGGAAGGCCCTCCGGCAGCTCTGAAAGGCAGCCATGTACTCAACTTCTCCATTGCTACACTGGTGACAGTTAAAACAACTCCTTTTAACCCTTAAAAAAAATGGAGTGTGTTCCTTTTTTATTGCTGAGGAAAGTAATTAACAGAGTCAGAGAGGGAAACATCCTGAAGATGAAGAATTGTAGTAAGAGTAAGTCATTTTGGGGGGCACATCTACAGTCCAAAGCACTCTGTCAGCTGCTGGATGGATCCTCTGCCCCTGCCCTTGGGGGTCAACCTTCATGGAAGTCACGCATTACTGCTAAGGCACAACGTGAGTTCATGAACTTGACTGGTTCTCAGAGGGTGGCTCCGTGATGACACCACAGCGGTCAGCACACGGTGAGGGATACCTCTGCTCATCACGGTCCACCAGGAAGGGAGGAGGTTCTTCGAGATTTGGAAGACTTTTGGATCTAAGGGTGGGTGACAGGGATAGGTAAAAAGACCACCTCTACCCAAGCAGTTTCGCCTTAGCAGACAGAATGAAGAATTAAAAGTAATATAGCGGAAATGTCCATTTCCGGCAGAACTACGAGGAATTTGCCTTTGCAAACATTCAGTCTGTTGACTGTCGGGCTTCCACACAGAGATTTCCAAGGAGGTGGAAGGACCCCAAAGAAGACCCCCTGATTCCCACCTAGCAACACACAGCCCCTGTGTGACTAAAACAGAGAAGATGCTACCACAGCAAATACGGGGTAGCAGAGAGAGAGAGTCCAGCTGTAGGTAAAAAAAATTACGATGAAGAAAAATAAACTCACTAGCAAAGTAAACACTGTCACCCACAAGCTGTGTGACATGAGAACAGTGAAGTGTGTCACAGATGGGGGCTCTGCCACCAGGACACTGTGGGACGCGGGCCCACTGCCAGCGGAACCGAGAGTCCGTTTCCTGATGCCTGACCTGAAAGGACTGCATCTCAGCCCTCTGCACCCTCGGACCAGATTGGTCCCAGCATTTCAGGTTCTTAACGAGATGAGGGGTTGTTAACAGAACACACTAACTTGACCATAACTCAGACCCACCTTCGAAATGGACCTCAAGGTCGGCTCTAACGGCTTTGAAGCACGTTAGCGAGCCATGCAACTGGAAAAAGAACAATTTACTTGCTTCAGTCAAAGTGTTGGGTGCCTGCTGCTGGACGCCATCATAAGTGTCTGCTAGGCTGGGTGACGTGTGCTGAACAGAACAATGCCTGGTGTTCACGGAGCTTTCATATTAGTGGGTGGAGCAAACTATAAGCAGATAAAATACGTACTCGGTCAGTCAGAGGTGAGTCCTATGAGGGACCCTAATGTAGAGGAAGAGAATCGGGGGTGAGAGAGGGTCTGGATCAGGGACCGAGTCTGACGTGGTGACATCTGAACCGAGACCCAACTGAGACGCGGGGAGCCAACAACTGTGCACTCGGGGAGAAGGGCCTCCCGCTGATGAATGACGCGTTCAAAGGTCCTGAGGCGGGAGCGCCGTCCCAGAGCCACCAGAGGCGGGTGTGATTAGCCTGGAGTGATTGTGGAAGAGCCGGAGATGAGGTCAGTGTAAGGGAAGAAACAAAACCATCGGTGCCGAAGGACATGTGAACAACTAACCGTGCCCACAGAGCCACAAAGCAAGCTCAGGATGCCGAAATGACAGTCCCAAAGCACCCACTCATGTGAAATGAAGTTCTGGGAACACCGATTTCCCTCACACCGAGATTATAAAATTGGGTTTGGGGGAGCCACGTGAACAGACAGGGCTGGGGCCGGTGCAATGAACAGGACACACCTGCCAATAAAGGTTGTTGGCAATGGGGAATGCAGCCACGGAATAAAGGCACTTGGAACCTCCCGTCCCAGGCCCCGGGGTCTAATGTCACTGAGGATAATAGTGGCCAACATTTGCAGAATGCCTACAATGGGCCAGGCACTATTCTGAGGACTTGATACGCTCAAGTCTATTATCATTATTTCCTCGGATGGATCAGGACCCCAAGGCAAAGGTAGACCAGTTGCCCAAGATCACACAACTAGTTAAGCGCAAAGCCGGGACACCAACGCAGGCAGGCACGTCAACAACCTTTACTTTCAGCTGCCTTCTCATATACGGAGATTCAAAATTCCCATGCTTAGGAGACTCTGAATAATATCCTCATAAGATTTCACCCTAATAAAGTCTTTTCTCCTGTGTCGCTTCTCCCTCCTGACTGGACGCAGGATAGTACGGAGGCTATGACCGCGGTGTGTGGCCTGCAGAACACCGTCTGGGATGAGCCGGGTGCCCCACAAACGAGGAACGACTCAGGGAAGGAGCAACGGAGCCCCCTTCTCAGGGAGAAAGCGGGGTTTCTACGCACGTGGGTGGAAGCCAAGTTCCTGGGGTGCCTGAACCAGAATCCACAGCACAGACACTCATGGACCAGGAACGAGTTCATGATTGTTGACCACTTCCCCCTCAGGGATTACCCTTTTGTCCTAGACTTCTTAAAAACTTGAAATTCTTTAGCAGAAAATGGCTACACATAAATCTTTCTTTAAAGACAGAGCTTATGTGGAAATTAGCCTCTAACTTACAAACAACAGAATTTTTGGAGAAATCTTGATTATTTAAAAAGATGAGTGGCAAAGAGACAGGTTTTTACTTGTCGAAGAGACAGATTCCTACTCTGGCATTTCTCTGTACCCGATGAACGCTTCCTATTTCATACCATAATTAATAAGACTTCTCCTTTTAAAAACTTTTGTTATCCACAATTTAAAAGACACATTTATTCTTACACACACACACACACACACCCCATAACTCTAAACCACAGTTTCAGAGAGAAAAGACAGAATTAGAATTACTAGAAGAAACCAGGCATCTGTAAAGCAAACCAGATTTTGGAAAATATTATTGCTAAAAGTCTCTGTATCAGCTCTCCCTGAGGCCTGGGTTTTCTGTCCCAACTGAACCCGAGGCGACCCTCGCCCTGAGGAGCTCGCTGGCTAGAA